ATTCTTTGTTGTTTTTTTATCCTCTGTCTCGGAGCTCTCAGATATCAGCTCATGCACTGGAAATGAACTCCTTAAGATCTCTTTTCTCCAAACTTGTCTGCAGTGTGTATTCATTAAAACTTGGACAGACATTTCTCTCTAAGTTTTTGGGTGGTCTGTGAGATTTATGTAACTGAATGAACCTGTATTCAGCCGTGTTTCAGCCGTCTCCACTGACGGACTGTGGTTTTACTTTTTTTTCCACTCGCGCTGCTGAACAGAGGAACAGTTTTGAAGACTTCAGTTCCATTTAGTCAGCTTGGACCAAGTCTTATACAGTATGCATGTAGGGAGAGACTATTCAGTTAATGGTCTATAGTCAGAGCTGCAGCAGAACACTTTGGTCGAGGAGCGGATCTATTTATAGATGAAGACATTAACACCAGCTGGGAGAGATTAAAGTTAACAAGGACAATGTTACAGAGAGATGGTCACAGCAGCTCTGAGTTGTGTACCAATACACACAGTTAAAGTTGGAATCTGTGAAGGTAGACTCTGAGTATATCCATCTGTAATGCATACCTGATACAAGAAGTCTTTGAAAAGGCTGTTAAGATAAAAACCCCCGCTTACATGAAAAAGACATGGTATTCAGAGATTTTGCAAGACATGGGTCCTGCAGGCCACCGATTAACAAGACTGCAACCACATGCCTGTTCGGTTTATTTACCCCATCATGCTCCTGGGTGAAGTTTAGAAAAAATCTTTTTGGTCACAGCTGCCCTGCCTCTGTTGTTACACCATGTCCTGCCTAATGGACCCCCCTAACCCCCCTAAAAAATGGAGTGCATATGTGAAAACAGCTTTAGATGAATCACTGAAGTCATTTAGATTCATCATCTGGAAACTGCAGTATCAAATTTCATGGATGGTTATTCAAGAGTCATGCAGACCGAGCTAGCCAATTGGTTAAGGCAATAAGCCCCCCTTCTGCTCACCTCCCCTGTCCTTCATTTCCATCTCTGAAGGCAGGTGGTTTGTTTGTCTGTTGAAAAAAAAAGCCAAAAAATGCGTTTGTATCATTGATCTGCTCTTCTAAAATAGTCATGACAATGGTCTAATGGTCTAGCTTTCTAAAATACCAAAAATAATAATAATAGAGAAATGATTACAATGTGCTTTATTTCAGGTTCAGGTTTGAAGTTTTATTTTGTTTTAAAATAATAAAGGGAGAAGCAGCTTAGTGTGTACAAAGAGACGCTCTTTAAAGGCGCAAAGGAATTTGCCAAGGAAAAATAAAGATTTCCCCTTTTTCAAGTCTTTATGTTTTCTGCAGATGAATCAGAAAAACTGCTCACTGCAACAGATCTGTTTGAGCTGCACATTCTTCATATTTATCTTATAGGCTTACTGTATGAATAAAAGTACATGTCAGGGGAGCTACTATTTTTATCACACCTTCCGTCCTTGCAGACGGTTATGTAAGTACCAGTAGTTTGTTTTTTTTAGCTGCGTCCAGCTTTAATTCTTCTAATTGATGGTGAGTGACACGAGGAGAGTGTCTGCCCTCTGAAGACTGCAGCGCTGCCCTCTCCTCCTCTGCAGCTGATTGAAATATTGCTCTGTTCAACCACTTCACTCAGTTAAGTGCTGTGTTCCTGCACAGACATGCTTGATAGCATTCAATTTGCTAACTGAATGAACAGGAATAACTCACCATGGCACTGCCCACACACAGGTACACACACACACACATGCACACATGCAGAGACACATACTGTTTCTCTGCGTTATGTCAGAGTGAGATCAATAGGTGCCTCACTTCTCCGTGATGTTGTTTCTAACTGTGAGTCTCGTGGACACAAGTGAGATATAGAGCCCACTTCAGGGTGAAATGATTTTCCCTATGAAATGTAGACAGAGTGCCTGACCCACTCTGACAGCTCACTTATTGAGACAAAATGCTCCTTCTAGTGATGTGGTGCCCTGAGGGGGGCCAGCAGCCTCCCTGGGCCTCAACCACTCAACAGCATGTAATCTGGGTTTCTATTGTAACTGGACAGTGATGGCCACCATTTCACCTATTCAATGATATATTAGATGTTCGGATAGATTTGAGTAAAAAGAAAAGTGTAAAATGTTTCACATTGTACCTTTACCTTTGTCCTGTCTTTGCCAAGAGCAGAATCAGATTTGAATTCTCTAAGAAACACTGCAACAAGAGACAGACTTTTCTGGAGAGAAAGATAATTTTCTCTAAAAGAATAAGCTGTTATATGTTGCAAAGCTAGCAGACTAGCAGATCAAAATGGCCATTTTACGAGTGATGGGATCTCCAGCTCCTTTTAGAGACCTGGATCATTTGGCTCCGCTCAGTAAGAGACTCAAACAGCTCTTCATTTGGTTCCATTTAGGCTTCTTTAAATCAGCTAAATTTAGCAATATTTTTAATGACCTATGATTGATTATGTGTGCATGTCATTTACCAACCGTATAATTCCCAGAATATCACTATTTACATGATGTTTGGTATGAAACAACAATGTTATACCACAGAGCACTGGGTGTGTCTGTGGCAAAGGAGTATGGAGAAATATTGTCCCTTTTCTCTGTTGTGTACTAAATATATAAATATATATATAATAAAGAGCCATTGTATAGAGCTGGTTCATTCTCCCCCGACACATCAACACTTTTTACCTCGTACAACATGGGAGTTGCTGGTCTGCCACTGCCAAAATCTGTTCCCAAAAGTATTGTTTTGGATTCATATTTCACATTAAAAATACCAAAGTCACACAATACTACAAAAGCTTCTTCATTGTGGCAGCAGAAGACAAACATACCGTATTTTCCGCACTATAAGGCGCACCGGATTATAAGGCGCACCTTCAATGAATGGCCTATTTTAGAACTGTTTTCATATATAGGGCGCACCGGATTATAAGGCGCATAGAATAGAACGTGTTTACAACTGAACAAGGCTGGGAGATATTGTGAATATATAAATATAAATACGTATAAAACGTAACGTATAAAACTACAAAAACAAAAGTACATAAGACGATTTCCCCAAATAATAAATTATTTCTTTGACGTTTCTCTTAACTCTCAAAACGTAGTTTTATACGTAGTGCATTCACAATAACTCAACGTTGTTCAAATGTTAATGTGCATATTCACAATATCTCCCAGCCTTGTTCAGTTGTAAACACGTAAAAGAAACACAGTCTGATACCGCTAATTCAAACGTTAGTGCATAACTCAACATTGTTCAGTTACGTATAACACGTAAAGCTCACTTTTTCAGTTCATTCCCCGTCCACGAATCCCTCGAATTCTTCTTCTTCAGTGTCCGAATTGAACAGTTGGGCGAGTACGGCATCCAACATGCCCGGCTCCCTCTCGTCATTATCCGAGTCAGTGTCGCTGAGCGCCGTGTACAACCAGTATGGATCAACCAATTAACCAATTGATCCATATATAAGGCGCTCCGGATTATAAGGCGCACTGTCGTTTTTTGAGAAAATTAAAGGCTTTTAAGTGCGCCTTATAGTGCGGAAAATACGGTATCTAAAGCTCTCTGAGGAGGTAAAATTACCATTTTTGTCAATGGAGTCTGGAGGCTTTAGAGAGAGAGAGCTGTTGCATCTGGTTCTGGTCTAAATTATTTATTAAAGGTCTTCGTCTTTAGGGAACCTGTATGTTATCAGACATTTAGAATTACAATCTTTGAAAACCCCCCAAGAACTTTTAGTGGACATACTTTTTTTTTTGCAGACAGCCTGTTTCACAGCTGCTGGTTGACGCAATCTGCAGGAGCACTTCCAAAACATTTTGTACCACTTAATAAATAAGATATATTTAAATGTAGAGCCCATGATTTTAAATGAACACTTTCACCTTTCAACCCTTCCTTCTTGTCCCTAACATCCTCCATGTAAGATGGTAGCAGCATATCTCACAGCGGAGGAGAATAGATGCTGCTTCCTTTGTTTTCCTGAGCTGATGCTGAAGTGGAGCCTGGTCTCGATCCAGCTCATTAAAACCCAGTTAATGTTTGTGCTGATGGCTCCACAGAGACAGCCCGACAGACACGGCCGTGTTATTCTGCCTCTGATGGAACGTCAGCTCAAAAGCCTTCCTGGCTCACAGATAAAGAGGAAAAATTCTCCAACAACACAACGGCCCACTCTGTAGGGATATCTTTAATTCACACACACAAACATTCCCAATTTAATAATGTCAGAGTGGAAAGCCTTTTTATTGCATGCAAAATAATATTATGAGGATGAGTGTGTACCTGGGTTTGTGTGTGTGTTTGTGTGTGTGAGAGAGACACTGTTTTTGTTTGGTGTTGTTGACAGGAAGACGACATCTGGAACTTAGGAATTAGATTTGTTTTTAGGGAAAAGAACATCTCTGTTTTATATTCAAAAGTGGTGTCAGCTCCCCTCCCTCTCGCCTCTAATGAATGTTTTCTTACATTTGTGTTCAATCATCTGTCAGGCTGCTCACACACGAACTCTCCCTACATGTGATTAAAGACACGCACACAAAGGAGGTGTGCAAGCCTCCGAAATTGTATTTCCTTTTTTTCATTATGAGAGTAAATATGACATTTCTTGTGCTGCCTCAGAGAGAGGTGCTGCATGAATTCAAAGTAAGCGCTCGGGGAAAATAGATTCTGCCACTGCTTTTGTTGTTATTGTAGCAGCGGCAGCGGCTGTGTGGGACCTGTGTGAGTGTTAAGGTCAGATAAGCAGCCTTTGTGAGAGGCAGGATATCAAGGTCGGTGAGCAGAGAGCCTCAGGCTGAAATCTGCTCGCATCAGTCTTTAAAATGTGACCTTTTCATTCAGCATCAACATGAACTTGTTGACATTTATTCTCCTCATAATTCCTGCTCGATTGTGTCGTTTATTACAAATTCATCACATCATCAATGTCATCATTTCGTCTACATTTCCAGAACAAACCGCAGCATTGTATCTGAGTGTATCCCCCTCTGTGTGTGTGCAGGTGTAAAGGAGCGTCTCACTATGGACTCTCAGCAGACAGGAAGCGACGCTCGCAGGAGGGCGAGTGCACCGATAGCACATCAGAACTCACCATCGCCACGCTGCCCAACGATGGCCCCACATCCGCCGCCGTGGCCCTCCTGTCGGACGAGCCCGGCCTGGTCAACCCCGCCTTCGACCCCAGCATGGAGGACAACAGCCAGTCGGGCAGCACGACCAGCCTGGCCGCCCGCAGCAGCTCCAAAAAGAGTGAGTGTGAAACTGATTGTTTGTGGTTGTGTGTTCAGTCCTGTGGTCATGTGTGTCTCTCTCTGCCCCTCCAGAGAAAGAGAGAGACACATACACACACGTTCTTTACTTATCTGCTCAAGTACAAGTTCAAATTTGTGTACACAAAATCTCTAGTGAGAGAAATATGTTAGAAGTGCTGTTTTTATTTTTACTGAAGCAAAAACTTAAAGTTGGGTCACAGAAATGTCCTCATGGTATAAAAGTGTCCCTCTGAAAGTCATCTCTACTCGGCTGTTTCTGTGCAAAGCTTACTGAATATCATGGCATATTTGATAAAGTTATTAAACATGAACGACAGTAAACTGGACATGAACACTTACTTTACTCCAAAGTGTCGATCACTTGGATGGGCGATGTCTCTCTGCTCTGAATCTGCTCCTCGTTATCTGCGGTGTTGGCCGCTTTACTTTCCTCACATCTTCATGTTGTTTTCTTCCTTGTTACGTCTTTCCTGTGTGATAAGCATGAATATAATATATATAGATAATGAATATGCAAAATCATTTTCTTTTCTATTGTTGTTTATTATGAAAGCTCTAAGAGCTTACATTTTATTTGGCTCGGTTTTCTCTTTGATAACGTTTTGGTTGTTTTATTAACTAACATGTTTAGTTGTTTGCATTAGCAAAGGGTGTAGAATAAAATGGATGTAAACCTTGTTTTTGGGCTTCCATAGGTCCATTAAAGTTGAAATTGGTCTTTATGTTTGGAAGGTGGTGTGCAAAAATGACAACAAAAGTAAAATAAAGCTAAAGCAACAAACCTCTTTGTGTGGAGGAAGAACAGATACATGATAACATGAAGGGGTAAAAGTTAAAAGTTCTCAGCAAACAGATGTCTGAAAACTCTATCTGAGTATTTTTTCATTACTTCCCACCTCTGACTATCAGTGATCTCTGTCTAAACATACGTTACACCTGCTGACTAGCAACAAATAACCAGGAGCTAATTCAACCTTTAATGCAGTCTTTGTTATCCCTAATGGTCTCTGATAGAAATCCTCTTAGCAAATCAACTGTATTACCTTGTTTTTACACAAATCCATAAACCCTGTGTGTGGAAACAGCAGAAAAAAACAGAGTGAGAAAGTCAGTGAGAGAGCGGGGGACATTATACAGTCAAGGAGAAATGGAAGGAGAGGGAGGTTAAATATAGCCCATGCTGGTGTGTGTTGATGCCCCTCCTTCTCCATCCTTTTCTCCCACCTGTGTAACCAGGAAGTAGTCACGAGTGTCCCCTCCCTCTCTTTACCCCCCCCCCATAGCGTGAGCATGCAGGCAGTGGGGACACCAAATGACACTGCACCAGCACTTTGGGCCCAGCCGCCTAAGCGCCCACCACCACAAGCACCACTACTGCTGAACAAGCTGTCAGCTCCAGAAGCGGCTGGCGCTTTTAAAGAATAATGTGGCTGTCAGGAGGCCTTGCATCTCCCCCAGCCCACAGAGGGAGGGAGGGAGGGAGGAAGAGAGGGAGGGGGGGGAGGGAGGTGTGCTGCAGAGGCATCGTTGTGCCCTGCACCGTGCAGCCGGGCTTTAAGGCTGATGCTTCTCCTCTGCAGCCTCCTGAAACCTGTCCGTCTTCTCAGTAAAGTAGCAGAAACCGTCGCTCTGGGGAGGGTCTCTCTCTCTTTTAGACTCCATGGTGTGTTACATCACTGCTGTCGTTATGCAACCGTGTAACTTTACTCAGCAAGGACGGGAATTATTAATGAAAATAAAAGCTTCATTTGAGCTTGTTTTAAGTTACTCTACAAATAAACCTTGCAAAAATAGGACGTACGGGCGTAGAAGGAAAAACAGTCTCCTCCTTCCTTCCCACTGTGTTCACATAAAGAGAGTTGTGATACAGTGCAGAGCGCTGCAGAAAATGACTGAACAAAGTTGTCAAGCAAAAACACTAAAAACATGGTTCAACATTGTTTCCTTGAAAAGAAAGTTGTTTACATCAGGTATTTCACACAAGAAAGCAGCGTGCATTAAGTTCTAACAAAAGAAATACTGTCCACATAAAACTTTTGCTCGGTTGTTTTGTTAACAGCACAATGTTTACACTAATGTTTCCAAGGATCTAATCCAGGACACTGGATCCATGCTGTCCATACTGCAGCCATAACATGACCAAACCACATTAAGTGCCTCATCTTTTTTAATGTCAAAGTGAAGTCCAGTGTTTCCACAATCAATTTCAGTTACATGTATTAAGCCACAGAAGGCTGTTGGCTCATGTACCATTACATGAAGTTTTTCCAATGTGCTCAAAACAACAGCTATTACCTTGGAAAAAAAAGGAAAATCGGTAAAGGTTCAGTTGCTCTACAGATTCCCTAAAATGTAGACATTGGTAGGCCAAATTACATGAAACTTAAGACATGATGTTTGAAGAGAGTTATTACACTTTTTATGTGGAGTAAAGACTGTTGATGATGAATGTAGTCAATTGGTGAAAATGGAAAGATCCTGTCCCTAAATGTTTGTACCATGATGCATCCTGAGAAAGAAGCCACAGCTCCAACCTCACTCAAAATTTCTACTTGAATAAAAACATCTAAATGTCATGTCAGCATCAGAGCTATAAGGCCATGATTACACTACAACGACAAGAGTTAAAAACGGCAACAGTTTGTTGTGTTATGGCTGTTCGTTAATTTGACGATGGCATTTCTGGTTCATGTAAAAATCAAAGTTTTTTAAACGGGCTCCAGAGTGCAAACTTTTGAAAAGCAGCACCATCTCTGTCGTTGTGGCAAAATGCAGTTCCTCTGACAAACTGAAACTTTTCACTCACATTATGCTTCCAGTCATTATCCATGAGCGAGCAGCTGGACTACTTTACAACAACAACAACGCAGAGTTCTGTTTGTGAAAAATGTCGCCTGGGAGTCTTGAAAAGTACTCTCTTGTTAGTTTAAGGTCTCTTAGCCACCTCACCTTATGGTGCGTCCAAACAAGCGTTTGTGAGTTCTCCATTTTTGTATGTTCACACCTCGCGGCTCTGTTGAAAAAAAAATATGTGCGCATTCACACATTGTTTCATACATACCCCAAACTACTGGCTTGGCATGTATACTACAGCGTTCAAAGTCGTATCTGTGCATCAGTGTGGAAGGTGGTTGTTGTCAAAATGTCATCTGAACGCTGAACTTTTTTGAAAACTAAGAAATGATTCAGTTTTCAGTGGAGCATTTTCATGTAAACACAACCCAAAATGTTTCCTCTTCCATAACAAAATATTCTGCACTCACATTTGTGGTAGTGGTATAGCAAATCCAAGGTAAGGTGGAGACGAGCAATCAAAGCTGAAAGGGGCGTGTTGTTGTTCTTCCACGATTTAAAATGACGGAGAACAAGTTCAGCTTTTGCACAAAGCTGCACCCAAGGGATTTAAAGCACATTTTATACAGAGATCCTATAATATCACTTTACAGAAGCTTCCACATTTTGTCTCAATGTTGTTCCTGCCTGGCACAACAATTTACCCAGGAATGGATTCTGCCATTCTTTTCCTGATATTGGAGGAGCGATATTGTCCCCCTTTCTATCTTCTTACCTTGTATACAGAATGAGGAAACTGAATGACAGTGCAACAGTCCAGCTTTTAACACCCTGTCAAAATGGGCTGCACAGAAAAACCAAGGGCATTTTCAAACAAAATACCCAGCTGTGACAGACAGAGATAAGGTAAAAAAAATCAGCAAAATGTCCTTCATTTTGAAGCAAATGCATGACCTTGGGCATTATACAAACACAAAAAGGACCCACTTCTAAAAACAAAAGCTCTTTGGCACTGCTCAATACTCCACTGAAGCGTTTTTTTTTGCTTTGTTGTGACATCTGGTAAACCTTGAAACTCGTGTGTATTATTCAAAATAAATCTGCTGGACCAAACAAGGGTGTCATCTTCTCACCAGCACCTATAGCAACACATCAAAACATTAACACAGATCTCAAACAGTCACTGAGGAGGCCACGAGGAGGCAGAGGCCTCTGATTGGCTGTGATGAGGGCAGATTCAGACATGTCCAGGCATGTTGAGGGTGAAAGTATACTATAAAAGGACCTCTCCTTTTCCCCTTTTCTTTTTTACAGTCAGGAACTTTGACAGATCTTCAGTGAGGAGCCGATCCTTCAGGAGGTTGAACCGGGCGTTCAGCGTGCTACGGCGGACCAAGAGCGGCAACGCGGTCAGCAACGAGACGTCTGAGGAGAGGGACAATGCAAGGAATTCAAGTGTTCCACCGGAAGGTATGCATCAGAGCATGCATGACTTGTCTTTGTTTCCTAAAGTGGATATATATATTTTGTGCATTCTGTGGCGTGATGCCACTGCTTGCCTTTGCACTTCCTGCTCCCCTGAGGAGGGTCCAGAGAGAGGGCTCAACATGTGTGCGTGTGACCAACAATGTGAGCATGTGTGATGTTCCCTCAGCTGTGTGAAGAGGGGTGACACAACTGGGAGCACACGGTGTAACAGAAGCATATGTTGCTTTTAATAATTCAGCTGCTGATTGCATAAGTCCACCGGTGCACCACTGGCAGGATGGATCGAGGAGAGAGAGAGAGGCAGGGATGGGAGGTCACTGGAGATGTGGTTGATGACGTCCTTCATCTCCCTTCCACCTCCAGTTCTCCTCCTCATCCTCCTCCATGTCTTTATCCCTTCCTCTTGTCGTCCTCCAACATCGAGGTTTGCACCAACTTGATGGAGAAGTCCCCCAGGGAGAGCAGAAGTGCTAGACCTTTAAGACGTTCTGAAGTAAGGAAAGAGGTGTTTAATGTAAAAAATCTACAGCCAGACTCTTGTTGCTGTTGCAGAATTGTGAGTGATGGGAGAAGAGAAGGAATGCTGTTATTGGGTAAGAATGAAGGATGACGAATGATCAGGGACTAGATTAGACACTGACTGACAGAATAGATTAAATATTCATTGGCTGCCACTGGAGAGACAAAGATGGAGGGAGAGGATGAAGAACAAACGCAGGGAGGAGTGGATACAGAGAAAGACAACAGAGATAAGGAAACAAATAAATGAGTAGTGAAGTCCCTCATGGAGTGAGGGAGAGGATGAAAAAGAGAGACCAATGACAGGCAGGTTGAAAGAGAGTGTGATTGGAGAGAAATAAGGGTTACATAACGGCTGCAGGTCCCTGTGTTAATGTGGTCTCCACCCTGGAAGCAATCTGCTGCGATAACGACAAAATATTGACTTTGGAAAGGAGAAAGTGCAGCGTGAGTAGAACCAACGGAGCCGAGACAGCCGGCTGAGGGAAAGGGAGAAAGAGAGAAAAGAAGAAGAAGAAAAAAAAAACGAGGAGGAATACATCTTCTCTGTCATTTATTGGCCAGGGCTGTTGGCCAAAATGGCCACAAAAAGATCCCCACCCACCGCCAAATGGTCCAATCCAGGATATGTCATTCTGCTGTGGAGTGTAATTCACAACCAGGCGATGAAGGGGAGGGGAGTTTGTACAAATAGAATGAGATAAAAACAGCAGATAAGGACATATCTCTGAATCATTCAACTGTTTCAAATTGGATTTATTGTGTGCATAACATTTCTATGATTTGGATGTATTTATTGTTGTAAATAAGCTTCAAAAAGTTGTTTTCTAGGAGTGAAAACGATCGACAATGTGCATCAAATGCATTTATTAATTTTTAGAAATCATACTTTTATGACGCCCATTGATTTCCTTGGGTACGATGGCGAAAAATTTTAGTTCTCACAAGAAAAAAAATATTTGTTTTCCCTTTTGTCATCAAAGCTAAGTTTGTAAAACATTGAAACTGTTCTTGCATCCCAACCGGAGTAATAACCTTGTGGAAATCTGAAAATGAGGGTTTTCCCAAGCATACTTGCTACAGATGTAAGTGACTAATGATACAAACATTGAGTGGGATGATCAGCCAAGTGAATTTTCCCTTTTGGCTTGTACAAGTTTGTTTTAGTAACCTGAGGGAGTAGAGACAGCTGGTTTCACTGCTCGCCCTCTCCACCACGTCTACCTCTCTCGCTCTCTCTCTTCCTCTCCTGTTTTATTTGGCACCTTGTCTGATTTTTCTCGTTGTTCTGTATTACAGTAAATTAAGAGCTAAACTCAAACGCCCTTTTTTTTTTCTCCTCCCTCAGTGCTGACTCTCCCTCAGCTGCATCACCTGATCCCCGATGGTGAACTCACCAGTATTAAAATCACACGGGTCGATCCCTCAGACCCACTCGCCATCAGCATCGTCGGTGGCAATGAGACCCCGTTGGTTCGCATCCTCATCCAGGATATCTACAGGGAAGGCGTCATCGCTCGGGATGGTCGCCTGCTGCCTGGAGACATGATCCTTAAGGTATCACAGAGCACATTGGTTTCACTAATCAGTGAGACGGGATCAAAGCTGGACGTCTCCTAAACAGCTTGAGACAAAAATCCATGAAAGCCTCCCAACTTCTTTTTAAGTTTCTGAAAGATTCCCAGAATGTGATGTTATTATGTGCAGATATTTCTTATATCATATTGTACCATATAATCTGAGTCAACTTGTGGTCACACAACTTTTCATCCATGATTGTCATTACTCCACAAGTGGTGACCAGTGACTGACTGTTGATAGAGAGCATGCTTGTCAAAATGTTCTAATACTTCCATACTTCTTAAAACCATATGTTTTAAAACAATACAATCTGTTATTCTAATGTTTAATAGTGTCCAAAAATTACCAAAGCTATTTAAAACTAAATACTGAAATACTTTTAGATATCATGTGTTTTTAATACATTTTTATGAACAATAATGTACACAAGAGCAGAAACTTTAAGGCTTAATATGTGATTTTTCACACTTAAATGTAGCAGAAATCAAGTATATCCTCTGAAAATAGTCATGACTGTCTACAATGGGTGTAACACCCGAGTCCCACCGTCTGTGATGTTTTCAGAGTCCTATCTTCAGTTTGTTTACATCGCCGGGACGACCGGCTGACTCCTCCCCTCTCGTATAAAAGTTGTTTAATTGAGGGACTAGAGAAAAGAAGAATAACATACTGTACTCACTGATTAACTGTGTTTCTAGATCACGCTCATTTCAGGTAACATTAGCATTAGCATGTTAACACAACAATGCAGCTCAAGTTGTTTTGGTTTCATGCTGGTGCTCAAGGGCGACATCTACTGGATCAAAAAATCACATATAAAGCCTTTAACAGAACTACACCTGTTTCATAAGAAAGATGTGTAGGATAGAAATGACTCCGTCAAGTCCATTGCACTTTGGTAACATTTCAGAACTGAAATGTCCCATGCACCATTGTGTGCAGAGCCAGGCAGATGCAAATCAGTCCATCACCCACACTGCCACAGTCTTGTAATGCGAAAAAAAGTTAGGTGTTAGGTGGGGGTTGTTTCTATAGTAGATGAACAATGATGAAATCGTGAATCAGACTGTGGATCATCTTAGATTTATTCAGCCATGTTCAGACAACACAGAAACACAACACACATGGCTGACAAAGTGCGGACCATCACTGACCCATGCTGACCAAGATCTCACAATCATTGACAAACATGGGCAAAGTGGCAAAGTCTTCATCTTCACAGTGTTGATTATATTCTACTAGAAGGTACATCCTACAAATTCCTGTCTGCTTCGGTTCATCTCTAAAAGGCTAGAAAGAAGACATCACCTTGACTCTTAAATATCAGACATATACATTTCTTCAGTCTCAGAGTCACATTTCCTTTTCAGCTCACAACAGACACTTCAATCCAAATATAACTCTGCTGCTATGAGGTCTCTAACACATATGTCTTACAGCTTCACAAACCTAGAAGAAGAATTACTCTTCTTTTAGGTTTGAAGAGCACTCTTCTTTTAGGTTTGAGATGGTTGACATAATTCAAAGATATATCCACAAAATGATCAAGATGAATGAATTCATGAAATTACGTACTAACAGTAGATTTTTTCTTATAGTTATGAAACTTATTTCCATTCAGGTTTTCTGGTTGCTAAATGAGACTCAATGTATGTACATTTAATATTTCAGTCCCTGTTTCTACAGATTTTAAACTGCTCCTCTCTCGCTCTCTCTCAGGTGAATGGCATCGACATCAGTAATGTACCGCACTGCTTTGCCGTGGCAACCCTCAAGCAGCCCTGCCAACTCCTCCGGCTGACCGTGCTCAGAGAACAGCACCATCGCTACCGCTCGCACTCGCACAGCCACCCGCACGGTCACGGCCATTTGCACAGCCACGACGTCGCCGGGGGCCACCTGTCCCACGGCCTGCCCCACCTCCCCCTGAGGGACGACAGCATCCACGTGGTCCTGAATAAAACCGCCCCGGACGAGCAGCTCGGGATCAAGCTGGTGAGGCGGCCGGACGAGCACGGCGTCTTCATCTTTCACCTGCTGGAGGGCGGCCTGGCGGCGCGGGACGGACAGCTTTGTATCGGGGACCGCGTGCTCGCCATCAACGGGCACGATCTACGTTATGGAGCTCCGGAACATGCGGCTCTGCTCATCCAGGTCAGTTCTTTCTTTAAATATATTAAACTGAGAGAGCGTGTTTGATTTGTTTGGAGAACTTTCAGAGCTTTGGGAGTCTAATGAGTCAACATGTTGATGCAGACCATAAACGACTGTGTGCTGGTCTGACTCTGTCTCCCTGAAGTATTAAAGATAATTGTGGTGATTCAGGCTAATTGTGTTGTGTTGTCGTGTCTGCTCTCGCTGCAGTTAATAGTATTTAATTGTGGTGATTCCCTGATGGACAGCATGTGGCGGGCCTCTGGTTCCTGGTTGATGCCAGTCTATGGTGGTGTGTTTGTGGTTAATTGTGGTTAATTGCAGTGTTTTTTGCGGCTGACTGTGCAGGGTCTCTGGGACCTGAGTTCCTGTCTGAGCGGCTCTCAAGGGGCTCCGTGGAGCCAGCATGGCCACTCTCTGTCAGAGATTAAGAACTGGCAGAGGGTAGAAATTAAATTAGTCCAATTAAGGCAATAATGGGCCGAACTGGCTAATTCAGGAGTCAGCTCTGTGCAGCAGAGACCTGCAGAACTCTCGTGGGGGGTTGGGGGGGGGGAGCAGCCAGCCAGTCTGTGTGTCTGATGGACTATTTTGCATATGAATCTGTGAATGAGAGTGAGAGGACTGGCAGTTTAGGAGGAGAGTGTGCGGCAGAGGAAGAGTAGACTTACAAAATAGATCAAGGTTGAGGTTTGCAGCCAGACCCTGGAGGTCTACTGCCTTCTCAAATAGATCAGATGCTTGATAAATTTCTCCCTGAATTACTTTTTAATGAATTCAAAAGTACAAATAAAAACATTAATATATTTTGCCTTCAAACAAAACTCTGGAGGTGACTGAAATCTCATCTCTGATTTTTGTAGAATGAACAGAGACCTACTTAATAGTAACGTTTTGATGCTTTGAGAATAAATATGTCGAAATAAGTTGAATGTGAATGGAACAGATTTTTAGCAAGAGTTACTTTATGATCGGTTTTAAAGGAATAGATCATAAGGTTTACTTTTCGGGCTTTTATGCCTTTATTTTAAGAAAGGACAGTGGATAGAGTCAGAAATCAGGGAGAGAGAGAGAGTGGAGAATGACATGTGGAAAAGCAGCCACAGGTCAGATCTGAACCCGGGATGCCCACATGGAGGACTATAGCATCCTTACATGGGGCACACACTAACCACTAGGCTACCTGCCCACCCCCAATAGATATAGATCATTATTTATTTATACAATATAATGCCTTTCGTCTTTATAGCAAAGAAAAACAGTTTCAACTTTGTGGAGTTCGTTCAGTACCATCTGTTTTCAGCATGTGGAGTTTGTAATTATGCTAGCTTCCTGTACGTTAGCTAAGTGACAGCCTATAGGGAAAGTTATGAAGTATAGACCCACAGCCCTGCGAGACTCTCCTCTGGTCACTCGCTGTCATTCATAGAGAAAACTTTTGAATCAGACCTGCACTCCACAAGGTTTATTTACTGAACACAACAGTAAATCAATGTTTTAGGATTAGAAAAGCCTGGTCTCCAATACTATTTATCCCAGCACGTTGTTTCAAAGCAACCACTTGTGCTGCCCCACACGAGGATTTGGCCTGCTTTCTGTTGGACAGGCAGGTGCTAAAAACCGGCGGTTAGCATGTGCTAGCTTGCTAAGATGCTAAATTATCATCTTTTCCATAACAACTAATGTAATATTCTAAAAGTAGCTTGCAGTGTACATGCCAGCTGAGTCCCTTTTCTTTCATTGCCTGTGTTATTTGAAGGTGCTCTTTAGTTGAATGTTGTTACCATTCATCATGTCCATGCTAACTGTTTCCTCCTGTTTTCAGTTTGTCCCGCTAAGCTACGCTAACCAGTTAGCTTTTCTGTAGTCATGAATGTAACAGACAAACATGACAGGTGTTTACAACTTCTTAATATAACTATTAAAAAAAATAACATGATGCAGGTATCTTAACTTTATGTCATGTTTTCCAGGCGAGTGAGGAGCGTGTACACTTCATCGTGTCTCGTCAGATCTGCCTGCCCACCCCGGACATCCTACAAGAAGATCCATGGGGCATGGACGGTCCCCCGCCGTACTCCCCTGTGGATATAGAGCAAACACTCCTGGTGAGCAGCAAATACAGATGCATACACATGAGACACAAACAGCTCTGACACACAGACAAGCTTTATTCCTCTGTCTCCCCGTCCCCGTGATAAATATTCCCTTTCAGGTGCAAATGATCCGTGGAGGTATTATTCCCCCATCAAAGCTGAGCGTGTCATTCTGGCAGTACAGCTGGAGGGGAAGTTTTCTCTCTCAGAGACACACTGCATCCAAATCAGCCATGATTTTTTATTTATTTTTTACCACACAGAAAATAGACGCTCACCTCACAGGATTAAGATTATCCTCCTCCATCCTTTGCTGAAAGATTTTCTCATTTCCTTACGGAATCTGTTCTTAAAAGTAGGGATGTAATGGTGTACTCAGCTCACAGTATGAAACCATGATGGGTTCATGATATAACTATTTTATGATTTTTGAGAGGTTGTAAGTAACCTAGTGAATGTTCAAGCTATAGAGAAAAGATTGCCTCATGAAACTAATTTTTTTAATGCTTTTATATTCCTTTTTGACTGCAAAGCGTTTCTCTATATGCTGCCCGTATCTCTTAATGATCGTTGTTTCAGTTGTTGCGGAGCCTTTGCACCTACTTGCCACTGTAGAAAAGCAAGTGTAGAGAAGCTAGGCTAACGAAAGAGTAAGACCATGCAGCAGTTTATTGATAGCTAATGTCAATCATATGTATAAATAGAAAAATGTTAAAATAGTTTCCAAATATACTGCAAGTGGGCCAGCTGGTCTATGTGTGCTCTACAGCAGAGCATTATTCAGAGCCAAATGTTCATGTGCTGATGATGTAATGAAGACATCAAACAAGAGAAGTGCAGATAGAATCATTTACTATTAAGAAGCTGAATCAAACTCATATTTCAGGCCACGCACTGCTACATATCTACTTAACAGAGATCCATTTGATATAATATTTTCACTTTATGTTAAGTTACAAATGTTTGGTTTTTTTAATGTATGATTACAAAATCTAATTTTTAAGCCAATCAGAACCTTGGGCTGGACTAACACAGTTTTAAGTTTCTCAAGGTATCTTTATAACTTGACCTGTCTTTTGAGACCTGCCCGTTGTGTCTTTCTTCACCCTTGTGTTTGTGTTTGTATTATCTTTATGGACTTCTCTCTGTTTGGCCGGACTGTAGATGTTTATGCTGTTATTGTCCTGAGTTTAGGCCTTTTGTTTGTCAGTCAGAGCCCTTTGTAAACATCTGTTTTCAAAGGTGCTATATAATTAAAGTGATTATTATTCATTTAAAGCTGTGTGGCAAAACAATGAGAAGTTTTGCTCCTGCTGTAGTATAAGACTTTATTTCACACAAATGGCATGTCTTCATGTTTGCTAAAGATTGAAGTTTGTTTTCATTACAATCCGTTTACTTTTGAACAACAGGGAACATCAGTATGTCTCTACAGCTACAAAAATATTTTCTACTTAAAAAACATTCAGTCAGACACGATGTCCACTATTGTTATAGTGTTTGTAATAATTGTTATTGTGGGCCACATATCGTCTAGTGTATCATATATCTTATTATAAATCGTATATCATATCATATCATATATCGTATCCTGAGTTACCCTGTGTTTCCCAACTTATGGAAGTGGTGGTAACCTCCCCCTCCCCAATCCTAAACAAGCAAGGAATAAATCAATTCACCCAAATAAAAACATATTGTTTATTAAAATAAAATATATTTAAATAAAGTTGTACTTTATGTGGTTTATACTGGCCTAGTTAATTGTTATAAAAGAGAGCTGGCATGATGTATTGGATGAAATGCAGACTCCTCATAGTCCCCTCTGATATCCTTTGCTCTTTATGACAGTATATCATATATGTTTATTTCAGCACACTGCACCCACAGCATTATTATACAGTCAACTTCTCCCTCAGCCTCCAGTGTGTTGTGTAGGTTGGCAGTGTGTGTGTAAACAGTGTTTATGCAGCTGTAGTCCGTGCCGTGCCCCCGGGGTCAGTCACATGACAGCCAGGCGATCTGCTCATGTGCACGCAGCAGAAATGTGTGAATGCAGCACATTAGCGACGCAGTAAAAGCTACATCCCATCAACCTCAATGTGTCCATGTGTTATTCATTACTACTCTACTCTGCGCCGCTGCCCCCCCATCTGACGCACAAACACACTCGCCATAAATATAATCCGATTCGCTTTATCCCACACGCAGACTCGCTCAGCCGACCAAATCACACATAATGACGTCTATGAATAAATCATCTCTCAATATCCCAACATGCACATGCAATGAAGAGGCACTTTGAGCTGCCCGCTGTCCTAATCACCATCGTATATTATAATTCACACTTGCTATGCACACTCATGCTAATGAGGTCATTTATTAATTACCACCTATGTCTGTGTCGGTGGACTGTTGCTCCCACAGCTCAGCCGGGCTGGTGTTCATGTGAATCCTCCTGTTATCAAGCCAACTATCACACATCCCTGAGAAAACAGACTTTATTAATATGCAAATGTACTCCTCCAAATCTAATTAGATTATGTAGCGTATATGAGGTGCCCTTGGTGCAACAATTAAGTTCATATCATCTTGGGTCCTGAGTGATTGTGTTTATTAAAGTGTGGATACACAATCAGAGACAACGTGATTATATGTGACCTTTTATATATCCACTGTATATATAATCACAATAACTTTATGTCTATATTGATCAAAATCAATAACTGTCATATGTCATTTTAATGTGCTTTCACTTTTTAGAGTACCCTGATAATAGTGGCTGCTTGAAGAAACCAGTGTTTCATTAGCTTATCTTTAAATTAGGTTACAGTGATTTACATGCTTTAATTTTTTTACTCATTTAAACTGTTTAATATTATTAGGAATATTGGAAAAAGAAAGAGATCAGCTGCACCTTAGTTATCGGATCTTTAGACACTTGTTGAAAGACACAGGATGTCAGGAGGGGGCTGCAAGCCGAGCTGCCAACATAACATAAACTCAGTTTTAGCAATTTCAGGAGGATTGCCTCTGAAAGACCGCTATACAACGCTATTATGAGAATATTTTCCTACGTATAAATGCAATGTGCAGTTCAACAGAATCACAACATCAACAAAAGAGCATGGAAGAACATGTTTAATGACGTGCATGGAGATAGTACAGGTCTTGTGTAGACAGTGTATGGTCGTGCACAGATCACAGGGAATAAACGTCACCAATCCCTCCCACTCCTCGAGATGAATTCTCCTGATTATATCCTGCTGTGTTCTCACATCAGCTCATTTGGATTTAATGCCGAAAAAACGAGGGGGACTGGCAGGACAAACTCTAAATAAAGTATTTTCAGGTTCACAAAGCCAAACACTTTCATCTATCAGGGTTTTTTGATGAAGCCTATTTCCTTCTTTCTAAATTAAATCAAACGGGGGAAAAAAAAGGAAAATACAATTTAACATGAATAATCTCTGCCTTTCCATCCCTCTGCAGCTAACATAAGCTTAGCTTATTTTTGTGAAAAGTCTCCTGCTGTATTTAACCTTGTACAAGGTTGAACTAGGAATTGAGAAACAGTAGAAACACAACATAGAGGAATCTTTAGTCTCTTAGGAAGACAAAGGATGTCTGGTAAAGGGGCTGCTAGCTGAGCTGCTCACCTTTAGCAGGAGATCAATTTCCATTGAGGAAATGATCATTTCATTGAGTTTAACTGTCAAGAAGACAACCACCATCTTCTCCTCGTCGAGATAGACTGAGTAAAATATTTAAAGTTTACAGTTGCTACCGAAGTACTTGAATGTTTCATTGTCCTGACATATATTTTAGAATCTTAAAATCTTGATGTCGGGACAAAAACATCTCTGTTGCTTTTAGATTTCCCATTCATGTTCTGAAACTTATCGGCAGCAACTCTCTCTGTGTTTCCTTAAGGACGCCTGTCAGAAGCCTGCATGCTACGAGAAGACAGTAACTCTGACTAAGGAGCCGTACGACTCGCTGGGTATGACGGTAGCCGGAGGGATGTCCAGTCGAGGGTGGGACCTCCCAATTTATGTCACAAACGTGGACTCTGACGGAGTGGTGGGACAGGAGGGCTCCATCCGTAAAGGTATTAACGAGCTACGACTGATGTCTCCATCCATTACTCACCTGCACACCCAATCTTTTTAATTATTTGAACATTACTCATGTAGTTTATCACAATGTCATGTTCAGTGCTTTGTTGCAGATAATTACTCATTTATAGGATGGGGTATTTGTTCTGTGAGGCTGGAGGACTGTCGGGGGATTTCAGCTTTGATGATGAATACTTTGTATATAAAGAAGAGAATGATTGATGAACACTTAAGATTCATGTTTCATTATGAAGTTTATTCAAGCAGCAGAAAAAACTCAGCGGTGCCGCCGCGGTTCAGTGCTCCACAAATTGGCTCTAAAAGACTTAAACAAAAACCGCAAACAAACAATAACGGAGCAGAACTCAGGACTTATTGTGGAACGCTTAATTATTCTGCTCTATGGAATCAGTCAGCTCTGAAATAGAGCAACTCACAGAGCTGCACACAAGTAACCTGCCTCTGTAGTCTGTAATGCAGCTGACTGAAGGGAGGGAGACATTTTCTTCCTCACCGCTGATTCCAGCATATCCATCATTTAACATTACCATATTAAGGCCTGTTATTAAACTCAATGCCCCCCTCTTTCAGGATCTGTTTATGAGAGGAAAGCTATTTGGAGCAAACGGCAGCAAAAAGACTTAAAAACAGAAATAAACAGAGTCTGTCCTGTGCACAGTTCAAGGTGCACATGACTGTGTTCATGTGGGACACAGCAGCAGCAGCAGCTGCCTCTGTTTGTGTGCTTATGAACCACGTTTTCTGTATCATGATTGACTGTTCATTTGCATATCTGTGTGGAGCAAATGTGTCCTTTGAGCTGCTCTCTAGCAGGCTGGACCGTTGCTGTCTGTTTTTCTTTGCACCACTTTCATCATTAGGAGGCTTTTTAAAGCGCAGGTGGCTCCTGGTTTCCATCCTTTGTGTTGGAGCAGGGAGGTTTTTGAATATTAATCAGGCAGATGATGAGTCCCTGCCCTGTGAGGTCTTTTGAAAAAAGATTTAATGAGGGCAAGAAACCCTGCTCTGAGGCTGAGGCTGAGCTGTGCTGTCCCCTTCCTCCCCCCCCTCCGCAGGTGACATCTTGCTAAACGTGAACGGGGTGGACCTGACGGGGGTGACGCGGGGCGAGGCCGTGGCTAACCTGAAGAACACCTCGTCTCCTGTCGTGCTCAAGGTCCTGGAGATGCGTCCTCCAGAGGAGAACCTGCAGGACTGCGCGCTGCCCCCCTGTCTCGCGCCCTCACCCACAGACAGCACCAAGAGCCCCGTGCCCAACGACGACTACTCCCCGCTGTGGGTGTCATGGCTGCAGCTCCCCAGGTGAATCCCCACGCCTCCTCTACCTTCTTTCTACCTCCTCAATTTCACTTGTTCTGAGCCTATCATAATCTATGCCCCCCACACTGGTCCCTTTGACCCGTGCCAGCTGGTGCCAATTGAAATGATGACAGAGCCAGCTGGAGAGAGAGAGAGAGAGAGAGCTCATTATACTTTCAAACTTACTTTTCTGCTTAAATATTCACTGCTGTTGTATCAGTGGAACTTCTGAGAGTGAGAAACTTTCCTTCAGATAAAAAAAATATATATTATATTTATGAATTGTCATGAAGTCAGGAAACAATGAAAGCTTAAAGTGAAATAAAAAAAAGTAGAATTGATTAAAAGTCTAAACTGAGTCCTGATCCACCATGGGAATGCAGTCAAGTCCAACATAAAGGATTTGAATATAATTCTCACTCTGGGCTATCTCTATGAGAGCGATATGGAAGTCAGACTTTCTTTGTTTCTTTACCTCCTGGGAGGGAAAGTCACCTCTTCGTTCAAAAGATTAGCTCGGCCATTGTCTCCAGAGCGGTGGCTGCTTTCAGTACAGCACAGTGTATATATATAACTTAAGAGTTGCAGTGGAGAGATTAGCGTTTCTAATCTCTCTCTTTTTTTGGCACATGCAGGCATCTGTACTGTTGCAAAGACATCGTCCTGCGGCGGAGCACCTCGGGCAGCCTGGGCTTCAGCATCGTGGGAGGTCAAGAGGAGGTCAACTGCAATCAATCCTTCTTTATCCGCTCCATCGTGGAGGGGACGCCGGCCTACAACGACGGCAGGATAAGGTATACAGACTGTGTTTATCTCTGAATGCTGCAGAGGAGAGAGATGTGAGGCAGAAAGATCCTTTTTTAATATCCTAAAATCATTTATCAGTGCTGCAAGGACAGGAGTCAAAATCTTATTTGATATTTTTGTGGTCAATGATGAATGACAAACATTTGCTGGTTAAAGTTTCTGAAATCAAATGATTTGCTGATCATGTTGTGTTGTATAGAACGATGTGTTTTAAACGATGTGATTTTAAACGATGCGTTTTTATGATGCGCAAAGTGACTAAAAAAAATGTGAGTATTTCTCAGAGGAATTAAAGCTGGAGGACATCTCAGTACTTTTTAAACAGTTGAGCTGATCCTGTGCAGACAGGAAGAGCTACAGTGGGACCTCAAATGAAAGATACTGTCCTTGGCAAATGCAGACGGGAAGTTTTCTGTTAGATGCAAAGGACAACGGATATGAGGATAAAAAACTTTAAGTCAAAACTTTAAGTTAAGTTAAACTTTAACTTTAAGTAAACTTTAAGTCACTTTAACCAAAGATGTCATGTGGAAGTGACAGAAAATGATCACTGAAGGGGGGCGTGTTTAAAGGTTGGGATCAACTGTAACTGTTTCCCATTTCAGTGGCTGCCTTTTTTTTCATAATCTTTAAATGATTTAATTAAGAAAGACAATTCATCTTTTTATGTAATTATGACAAACACTTGGTGGTTAAAGTTTCCAAAATGAAAGGGTTTGTGCATTTTGTCATTTTGTTTATTAAATGTATTTTAAAATTTATGATTTGACAAAAAAATAGAAACCACTTTTTTGTCCTCCACTGGAAAAATTGTGATAAACATGTTTTGCAGCTTTCTGAATGATTGATCTAATAACTGTAAAAATACTCAGTGGAACTCATTGATTGCGTTAAGTGATCATTAGTTTCAGCCTTCACTTCGTGTCACTCTTAATTTTGGATTGAGAGATTGATCAGGCCAGCTGAAGAGAGACAGGAGACGTCCTGATTTCGGCTGGAGAGTCGGAGTCTACACATAGAAAATGGCCGGAGCTGCTGCAGCAAAGTCTAAAGTTTCTGCACATTGGGAGGGTCGACCCACCTTTGTTACTTTTCATAAATAAATGTAAAAGCAATCTGTATGGTATCAATCACTTAGGCTGAGAGCTCAACAACCATAATTCCACATGTTACAAACAGATGGTACTGAAAGAGCTTCACAGACTGTGTTTTACACACCAGTAGTTCTTTTTTTTTTAAAGATTTATTTTGGGCTTTTCGTGCCTTTAATGTAGAGAGAGGACAGTGGACAGAGTCGGAAACCAGGGGGAGAGAGCGGGGAATGACATGTGGAAAGGGGCCACGGGTGGAGGTGAACCTGGGCCTGCCGCTCGAGATGAGAGTCTCAATACATGGGACGCGCGCCCTAACCATTGCGCCACCAGCGCGCCCCAACACACCAGTAGTTCTTATATTGAGAATTTTACGAAAATGTAACGCTGTCAAATATTCTCCTGTTTTAAGCATCTTTTGTGATTTCACTCTGCAGGTGTGGGGACATTTTACTGGAGGTGAATGGGAAGAGCACATGGGGGATGACCCACACAGCGCTGGTCCGCCTTCTGAAGGAGCTGCGGGGCAGAATCACTCTCACCGTCGTGTCGTGGCCGGGCAGCCTGATGTAGCTCCGAAACCCTCCAGCGCTGCTTTTTTTTTTTTACACAGCATGGACCAACAAATGTGGGAGGCGGAGCTTCAGACTGGCTGGCCCCCCCCCCAGCCCTGTTGTGTGGGAGGAGCTTAAGATTAGAGATTTGGATTTCTCCCTTCTGATGGACAGCCCAGACTTTTTGCTGAGTTTGGAGAGGGACAAACTTGAGACTGGATTTTTTTTTTTAACCAGAGATTAACCCCGCCCCTCCGAGAATGAACACAGAAACAGGGAGGATCCAGGACTGAGCCACTTCAAACTCAGATGTGTAGAGGACACTTCATTCTCTGGCACAGCACCCAGAGGTGGGGGTGGGCGGATCGAGAGGAGACACAACACGTTGCCAATTACCAGTAGTTAAATATTATGGTATGCGTTGGACTCACATTTCTTTACTGTAAATGTTGGGTGTCTAAAAAAAAAAAAAAGTTCTGATCCAAGCACTTGTGATACGTTTCTTCTGTTTGTTTGTGGTTCGGCCTTCAAATGTAGGCTTCCATCCTGTTTGTACTGACAGTGGTTGTCATCTTCATGCGTTAACCTGACGACACATTGCCAAGTAGTAGTCTGTGTTGAGGTTTTTGTTTTCTCTGATTTCAGAGGCTATGACTAAATTATCAAACCACTGGCAATAAAAATTATATTTAAAAGAAAATAAAGGATCAGTGTGTTCATAAGATGTTAAAAAACAAGTATATTTAATTAGGTGAATTGTGGAGGCCTTACTCATTTTCTTACTTTTAAGAAGAAAAAAAAACTGACTTGGTTTGTGTGTGGGCGGTCTGGTTCTGTCTGTCACGCTTCGGCCTGTGTAGTATACCTGATGGTACATTTGGTTAAATGATCAATAAAGTCATTGGAAAAAAAGAGACTTGTGTGAGAGCACTCCTGTTTTTAAAAAACACAGATTAAAGCTGCTGAAACATGTCTGATGCAATAAAAACATCAAAATCATTTTAATCGTCTCTCATAAAGCCACATTTCAGTGAGATGCCACAGGGCAGCACTGCTCATTAAGTGGATCAGAGTCAGTCAGACTTTAATTTCCTCCCTCGGTCAGCGCAGATCGTCTTGCTGTCTCCTTTTTTTTTTCTTTTTTTTTTTGGGACTTTTTGTTTGTGGCTTCTCTTCTCCTCCTTCCTACTCCTGCTCCTCCTGCTGCTGCTGCTAAAACATAGATCACACTGAAATGATACCTCTGTCGTCGTCTTTTAATCTTTTTCATTATTCGTGTGTGTGTGTGTGCGTGCGTGCGTGCGTGCGTGTGTGTGTGCGTGCGTGTGTGTGTGTGTGTGAGAGTGAGACCTGTGTGATGATGCTGCCTGCTCGTCTCCGTGCCTCCTCCTCTCCCTGTCGTCTTTCCCTTCACTGTTCCTCTCTAAACTGCGGTGCTTGTGTCCTCGCTTTGTTGCCTCCCTGTGTCTCTGTTGCTCCATCCAGCTGAAAAATACCCAAAATGCATTGTGTGTGTGTGTCTTGAAACTGGATGAATTTTTAATTCAAAGTTAATACAGAAGGAGGCAGAGTGTGCATTGGCCCCCACAGGAATGATACTGCTGCCTTTTTCTTTTCTCTCCGCTGGGACTGAGATAAGTCAGAATTCAAGGGACCACGGGGCCTTCTTTTTGCCTGCTGAGCCTCTGCAGACCCCCCTCAAGGCCCAGACTCTGAGTAACAAAGAGTCCAACTCCAGTGGCACAGAGAGACCTTTACATTAAAGACAAACAGACATGCTGCAGCATCCTCTCAGCTAAAGACATCTATTATCCAGACCAGAGCTCTTCAAACCATCTCTCACCTCTACACACACACGCACACGCACACACACGCGCGCACACACACACACACACACACACGCACAGACACGCACACACACACACACACACGCACAGACACACACACAGACACACACACACAGACACACACACAGAGAATCAAACACCTACGAAGAAATATAGTTCCAACTGAAGCTTCTGCACACTGTTGAGTTGAAGGACAGTCCAAAGTTAAAGGTAAAAAATATATTACTAACATTTGACTGTACAGTTTCAATAACATTTCCCTGAATGAAAGCACAAGACCACATCTACATTTACTACATTTAATATTAAGTAACCAAACCAGAAAAAGAAAGTGACAGCACCTCCAGATCGCCTGTTGTCAAAGTAACCTGGTGAAGGTTTTCTCTGGTGCACAAAGCGACTATCAGAGAAAAATATTGTAACTATTTCTCAGTGGATATAAAGCTCGAGGACATCTCAAACCCTTCCACTCAGACTGACTGACCCTGAGAGGACAGAAAGGCTTTACAGAGAAAGCTGCTGTCCTCGACAAACAGAGGGAAAGTTACCTATCAGACAGTGGACATGCCAAAACTACATTGAACAATTAAATATTAGGAACAAAAGAAAGCTAATTTTATATTCAACTAACTAAAGGTGTCAAAGGAAAGTGCCAAGAAATCCTCTATTTAAACGAGTCCATGTTTAAAAGTATAAGATGCACTGTAACTCATTTCAGTGGCTGCCATCTTTGAAGGATGTAGTCTATTAGAGTGTGACCTTCAAAGCTGGTTGCATGTAACATTAGCTGTTTCTGAAATCACCCACTATTATGAGTCACTCTGTGTCTCATTTCAGTGGTAGCATCTTTAGAAGGACATAGGGTGCATTCACACCAAACTCTAATGTGCTTTGTTGGATAGTGTGTTTGGTGTTGGGTGGAGTGAATACTCAAACGAACTCTGGTGCCGACCAAAGAACTGAAGACTGCTCCGCTTAAAAACAGGGATCTCAGTTCACTTCCAAGTGCACTAAAGTTTGTTTTGCCGTATGGTGAGAACACATTCCGAACAAACAAGGGAAGTGAACCAAAATGCAGTGCATTGTGGGTCGAATTTGGCTATCTGTTAACGATGTCAAATAGGTTTGCAACGCGTGGCTAACGTTAGCATTGCTAACATCACCGGGTTTTGGTCCTCCTTGCATGTTAACATTCACATGCCTGTGCTAAGTGTGGTTACAGTTTAACCTAATGACACAGCTTACATTTTACTTTATCGCCATTTTGACAAACTGTGCCACGGTAAAGGAGGCCATTACCACGGTCTTGTTGTTTACTTTCCAATCATAGTGCAGCATTAGGCTGGATGACAGTAGCCACTGACCGGAGCTACAGCCTAAACTAGTGATGGGTGTCTATGGTGCACAACGTTTGACAAAGTGCAGTGTGAAACCAAACCAAATGAAAAATGCAGAAATGCTACAACTCCACTCCTGAATCGCACCTGAGTCCACCGGACTTCATTCAGAGCAATTACACAGATCAACACATACTGAGTCACAGAGCAGAAAGTCATCAGTCAAAGCATCTGCTTTCACAAAGATTTAAAGGGACCAGCTCCCCTAGACCCAAATCCTCCTGCAGCATAATTCAAGTTGCAGGAGCAGCGTACTTGACGACGCGCTTTGGGGACAGATAACAAGAAAAAGTTTTGTTATAAACCTCATTACTACATGATACACCACATCCAAAGATTAAAGGCTTTGAGATGATGCATGCATCGATAAAACATCACCGTAAATTGCTCAGAGGCATACAAGTGGCAGAAACAAGTTGTTTATTTGCAGCAAAAGAAAAAATAAGACATTTCTGAATTGAAAACCCAGCAGCAACTTTCACTTCTTTGTGAGTTGCTGAATATGATGTGAACCCTGCTTTAGTTCATAAGTTAGGTAAAAACAAACTCGACCTTGTCACCTCTGCTCCTTCTGCTTCTTGTGGATTATAGAAGTAACTCTCCCCTGTCGCCGGAACATCTAAATAATGTTACATAATTGATGTCGATTTTTTTTCTCGCTTTTCCAAGAGAAAACAACATTGTTGGTTCTTGCTCCTGAACTTGTTTTATAGAGAAACTTGAGCATTTTGCCACTTCTCAATAAACAGAACTACACAAAAAAAAACTTTATCTCCAGTTACATAAAAAGAGTCAACTAAGACCCAAGAGAAAACAGGTAAAACAGATGCTGTAGGATGTTTGTCATCAAATCTTCAGCTGTCTTGCTCTCTCTAACACCCCCTGAACTTGGCACATCTTGCAGATTTGCAGGTTTAGAATAATCAACCTGACCTTTAAGATACATCCCAGTTCAGTTTCTGTTGCTTAAAAAAGAAAATAGTTCACAGGAAAAGTGCAGATACTGAGCTGCTCCACAAACAGCTCACACATGGCTGCAGTAATTACAACCATTGAGTCGCTCCACAGAACACACAGAGAGAGAGAGCCTTAAGGGGCAGAGATGTTGCAAGTACAAAGAAGCTAAATATATTCAATATTTGGAGACAGCTCCTCGGTTAGCAGCTGGGATTAGGACCCAGGGCCCACATTTGTTCATCGCTATGAGCCATTAGCTTCAACACAGAAACAACCAGCTCATATAACACCAGGAACACAGACAAATAGTTCCCGAGGAGACAGTGTTAGAGAGAGAGTAAATTATAGCACAGCAGCCTCAGGATTTGTTTTCATATTTTAGTCTATGGTTTTATTCATCAGTATAGTCGGGGCCTGTCAGGGCGGCACAGTCACACGATTCATAATGCCATGAGCCTGAGCGCAGTGTAATTATGTCCGGTCCCTCTCTGCAGTCGTTTTACTCAAACACCCAGCAGCCACACTGCGGATATGAAACACAGTCTGTGATTGACACAATTAACATGAGAGTAATATCCACAGAAATAAATAGATAAATAGCTGCTGTGAGTGGAGGGATACAATTCAAGGTGGAATGACTTGTGGAGCAGAGATGCTGTAACTTCAGCTCCAGTGTGGTGGAAGAAGTGGTCTCTAAAAGAAACACAACTGTGCCCAGTGGAAGGTCATACTCATTAATAAGTCCAATGTCTGTAAACATAAGTCTCAATCCTCTCAAATCATTTTAATCAGATTTTTTTCAGGCAAAAAAATGCAACCTGAATGAATCTTGTGAAGGAGTTATTGAACGGTTAAAAAGTAAACTTGATCAATAATGTAAAATGTAACCGTGCCTACAAAATCACCCAAGGCAAATTGTAGGATGTTTATTTTACAATATGTGTTTTTTAAAAACATATTTTGAGGCATATGGGGACGCTGGTGGCACAGTGGTTTGAGCCCCATGTATGGAGGCTGTAGCCCTCCGGGCTCCTTTCCCACATGTCATTCCCCACTCTCTTTCTTTCTCCCTGATTTCTGACTCTATACACTGTTCTATCTGTCCAATAAAGGCACACAATGCCCAGTAATAAATCTTAAAATGTTGAGGCATATTAAGGCATATTCTACCTTAATCTTACAGTGTGTGTTCGATTCTCTTTGAAGGACAGTTATGTTTTGCATTATTAACTTTTTACTCCTGAAATAACTCAATGAGAATTAAAGCACAGAAAAGTATCCAAAGTTAACAACAGAGACGCAGCAGCTTTTCAGCTCCTGTTACACAACCTATTTTCTTTTTTCTGTCTCCCCCTTTCCCTCTCCTCACCTGTTCACATGTCATATTTCACTCTATGATAATCACCCTTCAGATCATGAATCAGCCCTCACATTCATTACATTACAGCCAATTAATATGTAGATTCTGCTAATGTAACCTCATTGTTTACTCTGACAAATCCCATGGTGCCATGTGTCTAACAGGTAGTGCACAGTATTATAAACACCTGTCCTCCTCTAAATATGTTCTCCAAATATAGAAAAGACTAAATACAAGGACTTGTCACTGACACTGTTTCTTTAAATGTTACAGACAAGATCACACTGATGGGAACACTCTGAGAACACTTTGAGAACCTGGGCCTGGTTTTTTCTTTTACATGATCCACCCCAGC